GAGCCTGACCATTAATGGTCAGGCAAGTTCTGGCTGTATCTTTGCCCGGAGCTGACTCTGTTTTCATTGATTCTGGCCTCGTTCCAGCTTGGACAAGCACTGCCTCTAAGAACAAGGCTCAATTAAGTACTTTTGCCTCCTGCCCCAGATTGGTATGTAGCTCCGGGCTGAACACCTGCTTCACTCCACCCACGAGGTGGCTGGACTTCTGTGGTGGGTGAGACATTTCCTGGGTAGTTTCTCACCTAGAAAGGGCTCTGAGAAGCTGCACCACAATAGGTGTTGTTACTTGAGTTCTTTCTTAGAGAGGTAGTTGGTGAAAAACCCAGACCCTGGGGGGAGAGGCCTGGTTTTGAGTCCTAGTTCTGCCACTTTGAAACCAGGTGATCGCAGGCAGGTCACTCATTCTCCCTTTTTATGTATTTATCTTTTCTGTTCTTCTGTGAAGAAGCTTGTTGAGAAGCTCAAGACAAGAAGAGCTTGTTGAGAAGCTCAAAAGATAGAATGTGGAATGAAAGTGTTCACTAGCGTTAAGGCATTATATACATGTTGCTGGTTAGTTTCCTGGGGGATTACTCCCCTGTGGGTACCTCGTCTCTTTAATGTGGTCCAGATTTTTTGATAGGATCGTAGTCATTTATTCACGATGATGGTTCCAATCACAACGGAAATTTATCGAACGCTCCTTCTGCATACTTTATCCCAGCTCCCTCACTTAATTCCTCAGAACCTCGGTTTCCTCACTTGGAAAATGGGAATAATACTAGTATCTACCTTGTGACCCATGTGGGGATTAAATCAACCAATTTAGCGTAGTACCTAACACAGTTAGTAGGTGCTCAACAGGTGTTGGAGTCAGACACATAATATTATCCCACTGCATTTCTCACTGTGAAATAAGTACTGTAATATTATACCTGTTTGGCAGATGAAGCCTTTGGGAGCCAGAGAGGTAAGTGCCGTAGGTCCCCCAGCGAATGATCTGCAGAATCGGGATTCAGTCTGCAGCCAGGGTTCCGTCCACTGTGGGCCTCTTAGTGGGATAGGCTGGGTCACGTAGCATCAGTTAGTAATTTTGGTACCCTGGGGGATTTGGTTCAAGTCAGCAACCATTTGGGTGAAGGCCAAGGCACAAATCACAGGTGTTTATAGTGTTAGTTCACACAGTAACCACTAATTCTACTTCTCCTGGTACAACACCCTGGTCTCCCCGTCTGTCCAGCCCCATTTCTTTTTAATTTAAAACAATTTTTTATATATTTATTTTGGGAGAGAGAGAGAGAAAGAGAGAGAGAGAGAGAGAGAGAGAGAGAGAGAGAGAGAGAGAGTGTGTGTGTGTGTGTGTATGTGTGTGTGTGTGCACGGGGTGGAGCAGAGAGAGGGAAAGAGAATCCCAGGACGCACGGCTTGAACCCGTGAACCGTGAGATCATGACCTGAGCTGAAAGTAAGAGTTGGACACTTAACAACTGACTGAGCCACTCAGGAGCCCCTGTCTAGCCCCATTCTTAGGGGCTAGGTGACTTCTTCCATCTCTCCCATCCGTTTCTTCCATTTGACCTCTACCTACCTTCCCTGGGAGGAGCTTCAGAGCTCATCCATTGCTCAGATCTTCTGAGTCATGATTGCCATTAAGTCTTTGTAGGCTAATGCCACCTTCCTTCGTCATCTATCACGTCAGCGGCCATGTGTTACACAGGTGCACATCACTTTATTGATGTAACCCATCACATATAGGTGCTGGGCATGTTATTTGGTATCAGAATAAAACTCCCTCCACCCTTACACTGAAAGTTCCCTGAGGGAGGGCAGGGGCCAAATCTCTTACTCTATTTGTAATCCCTCCTGTCCCGTAAGAGAAAATAATGTCTACACCTAGCACTCATCTAAAGAAGGAAGTGATGGTGTGGCCTCCTTAAGGTGTAGAAGATGCCAATGAGGAGAGCAGGCAGGATTCCAAATGGGTAGATGAAGCCAGAGGCTCCTAAAAATGCCAAAGGAAGGCTAAGTATAGCGTCCATTTAAATAACTTTTTGCTTTTCAGATTAATCTTGTAATTTTTCATAAGTGTGATCCTCTACAAAGCTATCTCTGCTTTCAAGGTCCATGAAGATAGGGGTCTGACTTATCTTTGGTAATGGTGAAACTTAACATGGAGGTTGATAGCAGGAGAGGCCAGCGGGAATAGCATAACCAAACTTTATTCTCATTCGCCCTTCAGACCAAGCCAGTGGAGGAAGCATTGACTGGTCGTATGACTATGGCATCAAATACTCATTTGCCTTTGAACTGAGGGACACAGGTCGATATGGCTTCCTCCTGCCAGCCAATCAGATCTTGCCTACAGCCGAAGAGACCTGGCTTGGCTTGAAGACCATCATGGAGCATGTGCGAGACCACCCCTATTAGGGCTCTGGGGAATAAACACCATTAAAAGTTCTTTGGTTTAAAGCAAAGTTGGGTTGTGATTATTCCTTTTTCCAATCCTGATCTAGGAGCACTATTTCTTTGATTTATGTTGCCCTAAAACATAGTAAGCCACTTAGGTTACCCCTTCATCTTAAAAAAAAAAATCTGTCTTGAGTAAAAAGCTTCCAACATCCTTTAAAAATTTTTTTTAATTGCAAAATATACAGATCATAAAATTGATCATTTTCACCGATTTTTTACAGGTTTATTTCTTTTGACAGACAGAGTGAGAGAGAGAGAGAGAGAGAGAGAGAGAATGAGCAGGGGAGGGGCAGAGAGAGAGAGAGGGAGAGAGAGAGAGAATCCCAAGCAGGCTCTATGCTGACAGTGTGGAGCCCAACAAGGGGCTCTATCCCACAAACTGCAAGATCATGACCTGGGCCGAAATCAAGAGTCAGATGCTTAACTGAGCCACCCAGTCACCCCCATTTTCACCATTTTTAAGTATGCAATTCACTGGCATTAAGTACATTCATAAGGTTGTGCAATCGTTACCACTGCCCATCTCCAGAGATTTTTCATTATCCCAAACCGAAATTCTATACCCATTAAGCAATAACTCCCCATTCTCCCTCCCCCCAGCCCCTTGTAACGTCCATTCGAGTTTCAGTCTCTATGAATTTGCCTATTCCAGGTACCTCCTATAAATGAAATCATATAGGATTTGTCCTTTTGTGATTGACTTATTTTACCTAGCATAATGTCCTCAAGGTTCAACCGTGTTGTGGCATGTGTCAGCTGCTTCACCTTAACAGAGTAGTGTTTAGAGCTAGCAAGGGACTTTCGAGTTCATTTATTCAATAAACACTAATTAAACAACTACATTGTGCCAAGCATTATCCTAGGTGCTGTGTGCCTTTTGCTTTTTTCAATTTCTAGTGTGCTGCATTATAAAAGCAAGTGGGGACTCAAACAAGTGACACTCCTTCTTCCTGGTTGCCCCATCAAGCCTGGGCTCTCAGATTCTCTATGTGTTCTTTTTAGACATTCACTTCCATTAGGGATTGAGATTTTCTTCATGTTGATGGTTTTCTCTGGGAGAAAGGGTGGGAAGTGAATTTCAGCCTGCCTGGAATTCTGGGTACTTGATTCTTTAGTTCACATTTCTTGCCGATTCAGCTCTCAGCTCTTCTTTTTACTAATTTCGGAGCTGAAATCTGTGTTAGAGCCCGGCCTTCGTTATGGACCAGGGTGGGCATGGGAGTTCAGTTTCACTGCTGACAGGACAAGAGTCCTAATAAAGCCTCTAGCTCCATAATTCCTGACAAAGACTCCTTGGCCCAAACGTACTTAGGCTTCTCTGAGCCTTCTTTTTGACTGGGCCTTGTCCATGGGCCCTGTCTAAGTCAGTCTTAGCAAAGGATCCTGTGAAGTCATCCCCCAGTCCTTGATATCTGATTGAGTGCCTCATCCTCCACCTTTGATGACTAAGTCCTTGGTCTGCCTGCGGCAAGAACCCTGTTAGTCCAGTTAAACAAGAAGCCCCCTAGCCCTGATGTCTTCCCTCAGCAGTTTTCCATCTACTGACCCCCCCCCCCCGCCCCACTGTCTTTACTGTACTAGGAGTTGAACACAATTGCTCTCTTCTGATGCATGAGCCCTATTGGAATAATCTTGAATAAAGTCTTCCTTACAGTTTCAACAAGGGTCGGAACAATTTTCCTTTAACACTCCCAACCGTGATCTTTGGTTGTGTCCACTCCCCTTGGGCAAGAGCAGAACGAATGATGTAGGGCATAGGGACAGTGGGATGGGGGAGCCTTGGTGTGGGGCTCCAAATTTGAGGATTTGGAGCTCCCAGGACAGACTCGAAGGCCCCAGAATCCCTGAAGAAGTTGTGGAGATCACGAGTGCCTTTCATATGTTCTGCTGTGATTCGGCAGAAAGGACACTAGACTGAGAGTATAGCGAATGTAACAGAGTCTTATTATTAATAATACCGTTAAGCCTTACCTTTACTCAGTCCCCAAGGAAAACTGAGATTTTATCCAGACTAACACTTCTTCCTATCCCATTTACCTCCTGTATTTCTACTTTTTTAGTGGAGTTGTAAGAATTAGATGTCAGATTCATAACAGAGGTCACAAACTCTCATCGTTATGACCTGTTCTGGTGAAATTCTCTGACAGGGCTTATGGAGTGTGTGGTCTTGAAGTTGGCTTGGGGTTTCTTTGATAGTCTTCACTTTCTTTCTTATTCTAGAGGTAACTTCATTTCAGGTTTACAGTTTGGCCTCTCCTATCACCGTAAATTCTTTCCAGCACTATGGGACTTCCCTGTTTATTCAAAAAACACTATTTAAATACCAAGTGATGAGCAACATGGCACCCTTGGCACAGGCTTTTCCAGCCTGAGGAGCAAGTTCCTGACCTTGTAAATCAAGAGGGTTGGTCTTTATCACTCGAAAGGAATGGAAGAGGCATTGGTAGGTGCCCGTCTGACCTACCATCACAGTTGCAAGGGTGATTGGGAATCGCATTAGCATTTTTGAGGACATGAGTCTGCTTCAGACTCTTTATAAATACAGCTTGACTCAGTCACTCTATGACTGACACCCTTGGGACATGAAGTGGATACTGTTCCTTGGGGCCCTTATTGGGCTCAGCTTCTGTGGCCGAGAGAAGTTTTTTGGGTAAGTTCCTTTTGGACTTATTATGATTATCATTATTTGGCTAGTTCAGAGATATAGGAGCCAAATGGACTTGAAAATGAATGGCTGATTATATCTCAAGTGGAGTGGCATTGGGAAAGAAGACATAAGCTTCTGTCCCAGTCCTTCTGGGACAAGTTCCTTCTCTCCCAGGCTCAATTTATCTGTGAAATCAGGACTAGGTGGGTGCCACAGTCCCTCCCCAGCTCCCTAATCTCCCATCAGTTCTCTTCCTTCCTAGTTCTTATTTGTAAGGTCAGTTCCAGGCCTTTCCTACTTTCTTAACTTCTATATTATGAATTACTGAGGATTACCAGAAAGTGTTTCTAATTTCTGCCATGCTTAGGGGGAAAACTTGGGTCTTATTAGGCTTTTTGGTTTCACCTCTTTGTTAATGGTGAAGGCTTTGTAGAGCTGGTGTTTCCTCATCAGTGCCTGGGACGTGGAGATTGGATAGGTCTTGCCTAGCCACAGCTGTGAAAATTGACACAGAAGGATACACTTGTACACTGCGTGTGTGTGTGTGTGTGTGTGTGTGTGTGTGTGCGTGTGGTATGTTTGCAGAATGCTTTGCGCTTTGCAGTGGAGAGGACATTTGGGAGGTAGGTGAGATGAAGGGGTGCCTTGGTCCCCCGCTAGAAGATTGAATTCTAATAACTCATTACCGCATAATGCTTTGCCATTTGCAAAGAACTTTCATGTGCATTATCTTTTGGATCACGCAGCAACTCTGCCAGGCAGGGGTGTTATTTTCCTCAATTTAAACATGAAAAAAACTCAGCCTTAGAAAGGTTAAGGAACCTGCCCAAGGCCACTTAGCTGGTAAGCAGGGGAGCTGCAACTCTGGAGGCAAAACCCATACCCTTTTGCTATCACCCAAGTTAGTCTCCGGACAGAATCCCGTATCTCACAGATATGTCTATATGTGTTAGTTTACTCTCTAATATACTATCTGGCTGGAGGGACTTTGGGGATGTTTATTGAGGTAATTACTTATATGAGATTGAGTAATTTTTATGGTGATGATTTCTTTTCACCCCTGGTGTCTACTGTCGAAGAGCTCAGAGGGGTTGGGCATAGCAGGTGGCCAGAGAAGGAGATTTTTCCGCAGGCAGCTCAGCAGTAGATGTGTAATAACTATGCTCGCTGCCATGTGGGCTGACGCACAGAGCCGTCAGGCTCTCACTGCAGCTATTCACATGGCTGGAACAATCTTTATTTCTCAGGATACAGACTTCGCTTACAGCGCGCTGGACGGACCCCTGAGTTGAGACAGCCGGGCCCGGCACTCGATCGCCCGCCACAGGGACTTGCACCGAAAGGGCTGCGCGCCTGAGCTAATTGCAGCTCACCCCCCCCCCCCCCCCCACCCAGTCTGTTCTCATCCTATAGTAGGGAACCCAGTAAGGGTGGTGGAATCCTTCCGAGGTCCATAGACCTGTCCCAGACACCTGGCTCAGTGAAGGTTTCTAGCAAGGCCTTTCCGGGCATTCATGTGGTAGGAAGCCAGAACCCAGCTTGGCTGGGGGTTGGGGGGCAGTAGTCATGGAGATGAAGATAATGGTTGCTCTCCCCCCGCCCCCGTCACCCCCTAGCTTGTGTTTCTTTCACCTGACTCCCTACTTCCCTAGTGTGTCTCACTCTGCTGGGGTCTCATGGCCTGGTCTTCAGCCATCTGAAGGATGGACGGCGGCCAGGATGCCTAGAGGTGCAGGGCAGGCAGAGAACAGAAAGTATGAAATGATGTCTTGTGGTGGCTGCGAAGCCCGGCCGGCAATCTGGGCGAGAAAGGCACAAGGGCTGGGCCTCTTGGCTTTGCCCTCACGGAAATGGGGGAAGGATAGAAGCTTGGCACTAGGGCGTCCAGAACATGGGATGAGTGTGAGGGTGAGTGAGAGGAGGTCACTAGCCATCGCGTTGGTGGCAGCTGGACAGCCCGAGGTGTGGAAGAGGACCAGAGTTAGCAAGAGCGCGGAGATCACCTGTGGGGAGCAGCAGGGGTAGACGTGGCAACTTGCAAATCCCAATAGATCCCCTCCCCCGGACCAATCTTCCATTTCCAGCAAGAGTTTGAGCTCTTTGGATTTCTAGATGGCAGAGATAGGTTGGGTTCGGCCACCCACACTTCCAGGACCGGGAAGGAGCATTTTGCAAATAGAGACAAGGACAATTAGGGCAAGAAAATGGCTGCCTTTCACCCGGCACCTACTTATGTTCTCTCTGCTTCTAGGCACTGGCCAGCTTACACTCATGAGAATGATGTTAGATCCCCTCAACCCCCCCCACTTTTTAGGGCCATCTGAAGACCATCCCTCACGTTGCCTCCGGGTTGGGGAGAACCTCATGGCTGAGGACATTGGTTCTTGGAGCCTGAGTGTGAGATTGCCAGGAAGATAAGGAAAAGGGCTAGCAACCAGGTAGAGGGAACAGCATGTGCAAAGGCACGGAAGGGCAAAGTACGCGGTGAATTTGGGATTTCGGTGAGGCTGGCCCTGAGAGAGTGTAGGAGGGAGAGGTGGAGGAGAGACAGATGGGGAAGGGCCCCACTCTGCACCAGCCCTTCGACTCTGCCTCCCTGCACCCCACAGTTGTGTCTTTATCCCCGGTAGCTTGGCTGATAGGGTATGATGAAATGTGCTGTGGATTTACTCACGCTCAGGGCCAGTTCGATTTCACTGTGTTCTGCTGCCGTGTGGACTATGCCCAGGAGTGTGGACGTGCTGTTGTGAACTTACCACCCTGGGAAAGTAAAACACACGTTCGGGGTGCATGCGTAACGTGCCGTTCATACTCTCGAGAGCTCCTTGCTCTTGGTTCCTTTTTTTTTTTCTTTCTATTCCCGTTCCTTCTCCCTCCACTCCTTTTTTATGATTGTTCTAGTCAGCGTTGTGTTTTACAAGATGCCTCATTTTGCCAAACGAGATGTCAGTGCACAGGTGCTCTCTAGAACACTCATTTTAAAGACTCCTCGTTTCTGGAGTGTTGGGGGTGGGTTGCGACAGAGCGTAAGTTCGGCAGATGGGGCCCGGGACTTAGCCAGGAGTAAGGATTCCCCTTCTGTTTTCAACCTGTTCCTTTTTTGCGAGGCTGCTTGCCTGCGTCCGGGAAATGGTAGTCTGACTCCCCACCTTCCTAGGGCTGCAGTTCAACTCCTAGCAAGCCTGTTGGGCTCAGGCTGAGACCCCCTCCCCCCCCCCCCGGCCCCACCCCGGGCCTCCCCGGGGCTGGACTAGACGACCCCCGGGAGATTCTCCAGAACCTCCCAGAACAAAGTTAGACCCTGAGAGCCCCATCTGGATCGAGCCGGTTTTCTGATCAGAAGATGCGGATCTGCCACGTGAGGCTGCACATTTAGCTCCCTGTGACAGAACCATTTTCTCTGTCAACAGGTCCTTCAGCCCACAGCCCTCTCCAGCAGCTCTTCCCGCATTCATTCGTGTAAAGGGATGACGCATGTGACAGCGTTGAGTGCGGATTCATTCGGGCCGTCACCTAGCAACGGGCTAATGGCTCCCCTGGCTCCCTGAGCCGGCTGAGGGCACAAAGGCAGCTTTTCAGGCTCGGCCTTCTCCCGCCCACACACAGGACTTCGGGGGGCCTCTGCCCCTGCCGCTGCTGCGGAAGCTAAATGGTGTACACGAAGCGAGTTCAGGACAGACGACAAAGGGGGGCTCGGGACTGGCTGGCTCCCTTCTGGGCCTTCTCAGGGCCCCCTCGGGAGGACTGAATCCCAAGTCAGCCCCAGCACCCTAGCCCGTGTTGTAATTCGTATTTGTACAGAGTTCTGGAGCTGGACAGGATTGAGAGACCACCCAGCAAATAGCTAACCCTCCGAGGACAGAAGGTCTGTTCTCTTTTCCAGCTCTTTCCAGCACGGACCTTTAGCCAGAGTTTCAGTCCTAGCCCCTGACAGTGAAGAAGTGCTTCTTTATGTCTTGAGTTAGCTTTGCGTGTAACTCGGGAACATTCCTTTCTGCAAAATATATATGTTTTTCATTATAAAGTAATATGACCACATTACAGAAAACAGATACAAGGGGAAAAAAAGTAAGTCATCCATAATCCCACGACCCGGACATAAGCACTGTCAGCATTTGCTATATTTCCGTTGTCTGTTTTTCTTCCAATGCATCTGCTTTTTCCATACTTGTAATCATGGCATACATACAATTTTGTGTCCTGCTCTTTCGCTTAATATTTCCCTTCAAGTTATACTATAAGCGCTTTTTCACATTTGCCACGTAGTCTTATTTTTAATGGCTATACGTTATAACCAAAGACTAGACCGTTTCCTCTCATTCGGCCCAGTTATGTCTGGGAGAGTAGGCTTGGGGTTTATCTGCCAGCTGAAAGCTGACCATTATCTCTTGCTTTTTTTTTTGTCGCCCCCCCCCCCCCCCTCCAGGGACCAAGTTTTTAGGATTAACGTCAGAAATGGAGACGAGATCAGCAAACTAAGTCAGCTAGTGAACTCAGACAACTTTAAGGTACCTGGTTCTTCTTAGTCCTCTTGGGTATCTCTGCCTTTGGTGAGAGACGATGAGCACCGCTGGCGTTGTTGCTCCTGAAGAGTTTCTGTGCGTAGTCCTGTATCAGTCAAGTGCCTCCGCACGCCTAGGAGGGCCGTAGGTCACAGCGCTGCTGTCCTGGGAGATGGGAGGCCTCAGCAGTGGGCTCTATCTTTCTGTCTGCCATCGACTTTTCACTTCTTGGACTTTGCCCGGTATTGCCTTCTGGGTAGGCCTGACCAGACACCGCTCCGAAAAGGGCAGCGTTTGCCCTTGGGCGGAGCCCAGCTCCTCAGGGCTCACCCTGGCTTTTGGCAGTTGTTCCAGAAGAATGAGCTCATTGTGCCTTTTACCTGAACTGTCCTTTAATCTGGTTTTATTTCTGTTCTCTTCAGCTCGACGTTTGGAAAGCTCCTTCCACCTTCAGTCGTCTTGTGGATGTCCTGGTCCCATCTGTCAGCCTGCAGCCCGTCAAATCCTTCCTGAAGTCCCAGGGCTTAGAGTACTCAGTGACAATCGGAGACCTGCAGGTGGGTAGAGCAAGGTCCCTAACTGGTCTTGCATAGGCCAAAGCATCCAGAGTGGATCCGAGACGCGTGCAAGTCCTGGTCTTATCCTTCTCCATACTATAGATGAGCTCATTGAGGCCTAGGGAGGTCAAGTGCAGTGACTTGTTAGTGGAACATGTTGTAATAGAAAAGAGCATTATGTCGGTTGGGGAACTGGGCAGATCTGGATCCAAATCCTGATTTTGCTAACTACCAGCTGTGTGACTTTGGACATGCTATTAATGTCTCGAGCCTCCATTTCTTCCTCAGTAAAATGGTACCAGTGAGGACCTACTTCACACAATTTGTTGAGAAAATTAAGTGATTAAGCGCATGTAAAATGCCCAGCAGTGCCCGGTCTGTCGTAGGTGCCCCGCAAGTATTAAACCTCCGTCCCTTTTCGTATTTGAAGTCAGGAGGGAAGAAAAGAGTGTGCGTGTGTATGTGTGGGGGGTGTCGGAGACCAGTCATGAAAAGCGTCCTTTGAGAAAGAGGGAATGTCACCAACAGTTCTCAGCAGAGGGGACATCACCACCCATCCAGACACCAGCCTCACGACCTGTATCTGAGCAGCAGGACAGTGCCTGGCTCACGTTCTCTCCTTCACCGAGGTGGGTTATGGACTAATTGGTGATTTGGCCTGGGAGTTTCCTGATGGCGTGAGCAGCTGTGAGCTTATTAATCATCCTCACATGTCACAGACATCTGCCAGGAGCCTTCAAAGTACGAGTGGTTATAAGAATTTCTTTGTTTCTGAATGGTTTCCCAAGCTGTGTATTTCAGAGGCACTGGATACCAGATGCGGGCTGATGCCTAGAGAATTCACAGCGTAGAATCACCAAATAGCACATATGTTGCTTTTGGGGAGTAAGTGGGTTTCGAATGGGGTGATGTACATTGGGTGCCAAGAAGTAAGCTTTTATAGATATGGAGAAAAAAATCTGACCCCCTTTTACACCTTGGCATGTGTGTGACGAGGGTGCCGCCATCTTGGCCAGCTCGTGCCAAGACATGGCAGAAACAACACGAACCTCCATGTCCAGTGGGTCACTTCACGACATTGCCGTGTCTTTTTTCAGGCCCTTTTAGATCATGAAGATGAAGAAATGCAACACAATGAAGGGCAAGAGCGAAGCGGTAATAACTTCAACTATGGGGCCTACCATTCCCTGGAGGCGGTAAGTGTCTCAGAGCAGGTTAAGAGAAAGGTCGTCAGAACCCTGGGTTTTGTAACCCCTTTTCTTACTTCCAGGACATAGGTGTTAGTACTTAGCACAACACCCTTTTACTAAGGGGCTACAATGTGAATGCTTCAATTCCTTCGTAATTCTTGGGTCGTTTATCTCCCACCAGCACCTAAGAGCACAGTGAAACACAACTGAACATTTTCTCCCACATGTATCCTTCTTTTCTAAGGCAACCCCTTAAAGAAAACCATGGAATAATTACAATCATTTCCGTCCTTGTAATTCAACCTTCTTATACCCCACCATAATCCCTGTATTTTACTCACCCAGATTAAAATGTTACTTATTCCAGGCAAGTAGACAAGTGGTTATTTCCAAGGTTAACCAAATATTTCCACTCATTTATCATGATTACTTACAACGTATATTTGTTCCCTAATGTGTTTTGGTGCTGTGTTTAGTTAAAAACCACTTTATGTAGATGACTGACTTTCAAGGTAAGCCAACCCTCACGATAAAACACTTGGAGCAGAAAAATTTAATATGCTATTAGAACTCGAGGAATCAAGAGGGGCTACAGAAGGGGACCGCATCACATATAGCAGAGTTTTGTTACGACCCTCGATGTCTTCTACATTAGTCTGGAAGCTCTCTCCTAGCTCAGAGCAACACCTCAAAACGAAATTGTTACTCTCCTTCCTGTACCTGCATACATGTTGTTCTTTTTATCCGAAGACGGTGTTCCTGGCATGCTTTGCATGAGGCGTATACTTTGAGTTGTTTTTCTTCTAGATGAGGGGTGATTTCCAAGGTTGACCAACTGTTTTCACTTCTTTCCCCTGATTGTCAGTAGCTTTGTTTATTGTGTGTACTTCCAACCGCACTGGCCCTTGATCCCTCTTGTGACCAATGACATACATCTGCAGAACAGCTGGATAAAGTTAGGAGTTCAGTCCCGGGCCATGGACAAAAGCAGAGCTCAGGGCTCACCCAGGGATCAAACCCATGATGTTAGCTTCGTTTACGTGGGGCACTCCCTAGCTGAGCTTAACCGGTTGCAAATGTCACCCAAGACCCCAGTACCTCCGTCCCCTCGCCTGCCTGCCATGGGATCCTCACTCTCTCAAGCACTTGCTTTTGCCCTCTGGCTCTAGGTGTCCCCCCGCCCCCAAACCTTCCCATGAGGCCACCCGCTGGGCATTGGTGTGCTATCTCCCTCTTGGCTCCATCACATGCAGTTCTTTCTAAAAACAGCTTTGAAGAGCTCTCATCCCGTAGCCACTTAGGCCTTCTTACGTCTCTGGTGGGAATCTCATGTTTGCTGTTATTTCTGTTAGTTGCTCGGCCGAGTTTCCCCTCATGCTGTCAGTGTGAATTGGACCCCTCCCTCCGGATATAGCTTGGCGTTGTAACTTTACCTGGGTGACTCTCTTGCCTGTCCTGGCTCGGTGCGGGCCTCCAGCTTTGGCTTCAGTTTCTAGGGTCAGTCGGTAGAGTTTCCAGGGCCTTCTCGTGGCTGGAAGGGCTGGTTCCCAGCTCTCAAGTTCCAGCCCCTTGCCCACGCCGGGTCCTGTGCTCTATGTTGCTATTCCTGATTTGCTGCAAGCCCGCAGTGCCCATGGCAAGTGTTTGGTCCCCGTGTTGCGTTTTCTACCTTGCACCCAGATGGCTAGTTGTTCCCTTTTCATTTCTTGCCCCTGCGGTGTCTCCTTTCTTGAGTTTTAAACTCGGCTGTGGGTTATTCTCATTGTAGTTTGCCTGGCTTGCTGTTATGCATCTGGGGGCGGGGGGGCGGTCTCTTGCTTCTCTGCTCAGTCTGCCATATTGACTGCAGCTCTGATAAACCATTGAAGCTTGATTTTATTTTACATTGACTGCATGTTTCTCTCCTCTGTAAAGCTCCCTCTTCCAATTTTAAGGTCTAAATATAAACTTATTTATTTCCTTCTTTTGACCCTCAAGAGGTTTGAGCAACTAAGATGGATGAACTCTATTGAAATCAAATTAAAAAAAATTGAAAACAAATGGAAGCATTTGTAACTATGATTTACAGGGCTTCACTTGTTCTCTTAAGGCCGATAGAGGAATCTCCAAAGTGGGGTGCTTGTACTACAGGGGGTAAGGAAGACGCCTCACTGGGATGGAGGAAGAAACCTTACAACTTCTATTGACGTTCTACAAACGTGTATATTTATTATTAATGCACTTATTAATGTTTTTGTTTCTTTGGGTTGTTTTATAGTGCACGTAGTATATTTTTGTGGTGCATTATTCCAGTGATATAACGTACATAATATATGGTATGCGTGTAGAATACATAACATATTCACAATATAAAACAAATACACACACACACGCACACACACACACACACATATGGCGTATGGTAATTTAAAAAAAAAACCTCGTGGAGAAAGTGATCAAAAAGCTTAGAGAGGATCGTTTTTCAAGAACCTTGGCTAAATGGGGCAATTGCTGATTTAGCCAGTCTAGTATGGTGCAAGGCACCACACTGTTGGAGAAGTATCTGCACAAGTCTCTCTCTAGGTTAGTGGCCTCTAATTTTATGGACAAATCAAATGTGTTATTTTCTAGAATATCGTTGAAAAGGACCCTTTAGGCAGTTCTTCAAGAATAAGTATTCCAGGGCGATAATGTTGCCAATCCCACGATCACAGGGCTGGTAGAAATCACTGAGACCAGTAAGATGAAATTCACAGATACCTACCCAGAGCTGAACAAAATTTTTAAACGCCCCTGAGTTCACTTTTTCGTGCTTCAGATTTATCATGAGATGGATAGCATTGCTGGAGATTTTCCTGATCTGGCGAGCAGAGTGAAGATTGGGCATTCATTTGAAAATCGGTCCATGTATGTACTGAAGGTGAGACCCCAGGCTCTTCAAGGGGCCAGACTTGGACTCAGGCTCCTGGTCCCTTGTGTCTAGGACCCAGCCCTCAGGCCTCTGAAGGAGGCAGCTTCTTAGGATCTCCTTGACTTCAGGGGCGTGGGGAGACATCTACTGGGGTTCAGGTTTGGTCTGACAGAGAGTCCTCTGCTTTTGCCTAATGTGGAACGAGTTAGAACTTAGAAGGAATCCATCCCATTGCAAGCTTTGACTGAAAGGCAGGATCAAAGGGAGTGGGGGTGAGGGGTAGCGGGGGTGGGCGTGGGGTGGGTTCGATTAGTATTCCAGAAAGCTCTCAGATGGGCCACAGTCTTTTGCCTTCATTCCTACCTCTGTAAAGTAAGACAAATGGGGATAGTTCTACAAATTCTGTTCTGCTTTTAGGGGTACTTATTGGAAAAGCAATCTAGGAAGCTAATTTTAGGGTTGATGTAATTTTAAGCCCAGCCTATGCTCCTTGGCTGCACAAAGCCTAATTTCTAGATATTTCTAACAGATTCAGGTCTATATTGGCAAAAGAGGTAGGGAATTTATGGCAGGGACATAAATTACATAAATAATCCAGCCAAATGAATAAAAGGAATTTGGAGATAGGAACCACGGAGCAACTGATGGTGCTAAGAATTTGTCAAATCCTTAGCTTTGTATAAGCCGTGAGGAACCCTGGCTCATAGCGGTGCTTGAATTACCAGCCGGAGGAGATTTGCCACTGAACTGCTTGCCCTAAAACAATCCCCATAAATTTAGATTATTTGCCAATCTGATGCAGACTCTGGCTTCATTAGCACCATGCTCTGACCCAAGGCGGCCCAGCCCCACACTAAAAGGCGGGAGCCGGAATTCATTTCATGCCATTTACAAAGAGCTATACTATAGTGAACCTCTCTCTTCCTCCTTTTAAAATCGAATTCATTTATTGCATCAACGAGAACAGGCTGGTTCATGCACTTTTGTGTCTCTCTCTGTTGGGATACCATTTGAGGTCTTTCAAGAGACATAATATTATCTCTAATCACACTGGCATTATAATTCACAATAGCAATTGTTTCCCCTTCCCATTTGCTTCCAACCCGGGGGCAGCTCAAGCTGCCCCGAGCTTCGGCTGGGCCCTGACAGCCAACCAATTAAGCTCCCTGGTCACGGAGAAGCCTGATAAATAGATGGTGCCCTCAGGAACATTTGGTCTCTGAATTATCTTAAATGGATTAAATGAATAGGGGTGAGCTGGGGAGAGGAGAGGTGAGTGGAGACGTGGGCAGGAGGGTCATTTTCTGGCCTCTTTCTCCTTCCACAGTTCGGCCCTGCAGAAGGCGGGCGGCGGCCGGCCGTTTGGCTGAATGCAGGCATCCATTCCCGGGAGTGGATCTCGGTGGCCACAGCGATCTGGACTGCGAGGAAGGTCATGTCGCCTGGTATTAGCTGAGAATTCTGGTGGGCCAGGGGTGCCCCCGCAGCATCCCATGAGGCTGGGCCTGGGGAACGAGGTGGGAAGGCACTCTGCATAGACACAGTAGGCTGGGGGCCTTTTCGGATCAGAGAAGCAAGAGGTCAGAGCCCCTTGGTCAGGGCACTGCGGTTAAATGACAAAGTGCATTCATGGCAACGAGCAAGCTAATGAGCTGCAGAGGTGGCCCCGAAACACTGACCCGCAGTCAGCCCCGCAGAAAGGGAGCAGAGTCTCCTCAGCAGTGAAACTCAGACGAGCTTTGCCTTCAGTCCCATCCTAGCCCTCCAGACCCTCGAGGACCTCATGTTGTCTCCGTGTCCCTCCGGAGGGTCTGCTTTAAGGCAGCGCTAGGGAGAGGAAGGGTGCTGTGCGTGGGGGCCCAGATTCCCCCCAAGCTATCATGATATGTGGCTCTTCCCTCCCCTCTTACCACCCCCCTGGAAGGAATGAATAAACCAGGCAGCCCTGGACTCCTTGCAAATGTTGACGTCCTCATGAAGCCATGTGCCCCCAGGTTTCGAAGTGCTCCAAGAGCTTTGCATGGGGCCGTGTCTATGAGGGCGGCAGGGAGGCTGCAGAGGGGCATCTGGGGAAGATACACAGGCTTAGACCTAGCACCCCAGCCTGCCCTGGCATCGCTGACGAGCTTCTCGTCTCCGCTCAGATTGCATCTGATTACGGGAAGGACCCAACCATCACCTCCATCTTGGAGAAAATGGATATTTTCTTGTTGCCTGTGGCCAATCCTGACGGATATGTGTACACACAAACTCAAGTGAGTAATACTGAGCGGGCCGGGCTTGGAGTTAAGGAGAATTGGTTGAATCCCTTGCTTTGCCGCCTGCATAGTTGTATGAACGTGGAGAAAACTCGCACACGTGTGCATGTTAGGAGCTCTCTTGGGCTCTCGTTTTTCAGTCTCTCTCTGAGCCGAGAGTCACCAGGGAATATTTTTGTTAGAGAGAAGAGTCTAATGAACTCCCTGTCATGGCTCTTGAATAATTATCAACCCTTTACCAATCTTCTTTCATTTCTTTCCCTCCCACACCTTTTCCCCCTTTTCTTTAAAAGCAAATCCCAGACATCAGGTTATTTTGCCCCGAACTCCTTTAGTATGCATCTCTAGTCGATGATAATTAAAACAAAACAAAACAAAACAAAACAAAACCCCAAACAATACACCACTGTCACCTTTTAAAAAATGAATGGAAGTTCCTTCATATCATCTAATTCCCCCAATTATCTTTAAAATGTCTTTTGACTCAATTTAATGAAATCCGTACCCAAATAAGGCCTGCGCTTGTATTTGGTTGTTATCGCTCTGCAGGCTTTTTATTTTATTTTTTTAATTTAATTTTTTTTTTCTCAACTTTTTTTTTTTAAATTTATTTTTGGGACAGAGAGAGACAGAGCATGAACGGGGGAGGGGCAGAGA